TATGTTACCATGAGTATATTGGTCATTATGTAATTAGTTGATTGGTAACAATGAGTTCAGGTAATGAGGCATCATAGACATTATATTCAACATGAGTTAATACCATTATTAAGTAACAAGAGGTCCCGACATGATGAATTGATCCAGAGAGGGAGAGAGAGAGAGGAGAGAGAGAGAGAGAGAGAGAGAGAGAGAGAGAGAGAGAGAGAGAGGAGAGAGAGAGAGAGAGGGAGAGAGAGGGGAAGAGGAGAGGAGAGAGAGAGAGAGAGAGAGAGAGAGAGAGAGAGAGAGAGAGAGAGAGAGAGAGAGGAGAGAGAGAGAGAGAGAGAGAGAGAGAGAGAGAGAGAGAGAGAGAGAGAGAGAGAGAGAGAGAGAGAGAGAGAGAGAGAGAGAGAGAGAGAGAGAGAGAGAGAGAGAGAGGAGAGAGAGAGAGAGAGGGAGAGAGAGGAGAGAGAGAGAGAGAGAGAGAGAGAGAGAGAGAGAGAGAGAGAGAGAGTGAGAGAGAGAGGAGAGAGGAGGGGAGGGAGGGAGAGAGGAGAGAGAGAGAGAGTAGTGGAGAGAGGAGTGAGGTCTTCACCTGAGTGTAGAGGGTCCTCACCTGAGTGTAGGAGGGTCCTCACCTGAGAGGAGTAGTGAGAGAGGGTCCTCACCTGAGTGTAAAGGGTCCTCACCTGAGTGTAGGGAGAGAGTCGACCTGAGTGTAGGGGGGGGGGGGGACCTGAGTGTAGGGGGTAGTGGAGTTGGAGTGAGGTCTTCACCTGAGTGTAGGGGTCCTCACCTGAGTGTAGGGGTCCTCACCTGAGTGTAAAGGGTCCTCACCTGAGTGTAGGGGTCCTCACCTGAGTGTAGGGGTCCTCACCTGAGTGTAGGGGTCCTCACCTGAGTGTAGGGGTCCTCACCTGAGTGTAGGGGTCCTCACCTGAGTGTAGGGGTCCTCACCTGAGTGTAGGGGTCCTCACCTGAGTGTAGGGGTCCTCACCTGAGTGTAGGGGTCCTCACCTGAGTGTAGGGGTCCTCACCTGAGTGTAGGGGTCCTCACCTGAGTGTAGGGGTCCTCACCTGAGTGTAGGGTCCTCACCTGAGTGTAGGGGTCCTCACCTGAGTGTAGGGGTCCTCACCTGAGTGTAGGGGTCCTCACCTGAGTGTAGGGGTCCTCACCTGAGTGTAGGGGTCCTCACCTGAGTGTAGGGGTCCTCACCTGAGTGTAGGGTCCTCACCTGAGTCCTCACCTGAGTGTAAGGGTCCTCACCTGAGTGTAGGGGTCCTCACCTGAGTGTAGGGGTCCTCACCTGAGTGTAGGGGTCCTCACCTGAGTGTAGGGGTCCTCACCTGAGTGTAGGGGTCCTCACCTGAGTGTAGGGGTCCTCACCTGAGTGTAAAGGTCCTCACCTGGGTCCTCACCTGAGTGTAGGGGTCCTCACCTGAGTGTAAGGGGTCCTCACCTGAGTGTAAAGGGTCCTCACCTGAGTGTAGGGGTCCTCACCTGAGTGTAGGGGTCCTCACCTGAGTGTAGGGGTCCTCACCTGAGTGTAGGGGTCCTCACCTGAGTGTAGGGGTCCTCACCTGAGTGTAGGGGTCCTCACCTGAGTGTAGGGGTCCTCACCTGAGTGTAAGGGGTCCTCACCTGAGTGTAAAGGGTCCTCACCTGAGTGTAGGGGTCCTCACCTGAGTGTAGGGGTCCTCACCTGAGTGTAGGGGTCCTCACCTGAGTGTAAAGGGTCCTCACCTGAGTGTAGGGGTCCTCACCTGAGTGTAGGGGGTCCTCACCAGAGTGTAGGGGTCCTCACCTGAGTGTAAGGGGTCCTCACCTGAGTGTAGGGGTCCTCACCTGAGTGTAGGGGTCCTCACCTGAGTGTAGAGGTCCTCACCTGAGTGTAGGGGTCCTCACCTGAGTGTAGGGGTCCTCACCTGAGTGTAGGGTCCTCACCTGAGTGTAGGGGTCCTCACCTGAGTGTAGGGGTCCTCACCTGAGTGTAGGGGTCCTCACCTGAGTGTAAAGGGTCCTCACCTGAGTGTAGGGGTCCTCACCTGAGTGTAAAGGGTCCTCACCTGAGTGTAAAGGGTCCTCACCTGAGTGTAGGGGTCCTCACCTGAGTGTAGGGGTCCTCACCTGAGTGTAGGGGTCCTCACCTGAGTGTAGGGGTCCTCACCTGAGTGTAGGGGTCCTCACCTGAGTGTAAAGGGTCCTCACCTGAGTGTAGGGGTCCTCACCTGAGTGTAGGGGTCCTCACCTGAGTGCAGGGGTCCTCACCTGAGTGTAGGGGTCCTCACCTGAGTGTAGGGGTCCTCACCTGAGTGTAAGGGGTCCCAAGATCCCAATAGAGTTATTAGTCACAAAATTTACGTTGTTGAATAAAGAGGGATACATTTGGAGGTGTAAACTGCTCTGTCTCCCTGTCCTCAGTGTGTAAACTGCTCTGTCTCCCTGTCCTCAGTATGTAAACTGCTCTGTCTCCCTGTCCTCAGTGTGTAAACTGATCTGTCTCCCTGTCCTCAGTGTGTAAACTGCTCTGTCTCCCTGTCCTCAGTGTGTAAACTGATCTGTCTCCCTGTCCTAAGTGTGTAAACTGCTCTGTCTCCCTGTCCTCAGTGTGTGAACTGCTCTGTCTCCCTGTCCTCAGTGTGTAAACTGCTGTCTCCCTGTCCTCAGTGTGTAAACTGCTCTGTCTCCCTGTCCTCAGTGTGTAAACTGCTCTGTTTTCCTGTCCTCAGTGTGTAAACTGCTCTGTCTCCCTGTCCTTGGTGTGTAAACTGCTCTGTCTCCCTGTCCTCAGTGTGTAAACTGCTCTGTCTCCCTGTCCTCAGTGTGTGAACTGCTCTGTCTCCCTGTCCTCAGTGTGTAAACTGCTCTGTCTCCCTGTCCTCAGTGTGTAAACTGCTCTGTCTCCCTGTCCTCAGTGTGTAAACTGCTCTGTCTCCCTGTCCTCAGTGTGTGAACTGCTCTGTCTCCCTGTCCTCAGTGTGTAAACTGCTCTGTCTCCCTGTCCTCAGTGTGTAAACTGCTCTGTCTCCCTGTCCTCAGTGTGTAAACTGCTCTGTCTCCCTGTCCTCAGTGTGTAAACTGCTCTGTCTCTCTGTCCTCAGTGTGCAAACTGCTGTCTCCCTGTCCTCAGTGTGTAAACTGTTCCCTGCTCCCTGTCCTCAGTGTGTAAACTGCTCTGTCTCCCTGTCCTAAGTGTGTAAACTGCTCTGTCTCCCTGTCCTCAGTGTGTAAACTGATCTGTCTCCCTGTCCTCAGTGTGTAAACTGCTCTGTCTCCCTGTCCTCAGTGTGTGAACTGCTCTGTCTCCCTGTCCTCAGTGTGTAAACTGCTCTGTCTCCCTGTCCTCAGCGTGTAAACTGCTCTGTCTCCCTGTCCTCAGTGTGTAAACTGCTCTGTCTCCCTGTCCTCAGTGTGTAAACTGCTCTGTCTCCCTGTCCTCAGTGTGTAAACTGTTCCCTGCTCCCTGTCCCCAGGCCAGGTGTCCCCCCAGGCCAGGTGTCCCCCAGGCCAGGTGTTCCCCAGGCCAGGTGTCCCCCAGGCCAGGTGTCCCCCAGGCCAGGTGTCCCCCAGGCTAGGTGTTCCCCCAGGCCAGGTGTCCCCCAGGCCAGGTGTCCCCCAGGTCAGGTGTTCCCCCAGGCCAGGTGTCCCCCAGGCCAGGTGTTCCCCAGGCCAGGTGTTCCCCAGGCCAGGTGTCCCCCAGGCCAGGTGTTCCCCAGGCTAGGTGTTCCCCAGGCCAGGTGTTCCCCAGGCCAGGTGTTCCCCAGGCCAGGTGTTCCCCAGGCTAGGTGTTCCCTAGGCCAGGTGTTCCCCAGGCTAGGTGTTCCCCAGGCCAGGTGTTCCCCAGGCCAGGTGTTCCCCCAGGCCAGGTGTTCCCCAGGCCAGGTGTCCCCCAGGCCAGGTGTCCCCCCAGGCCAGGTGTTCCCCAGGCCAGGTGTTCCCCAGGCCAGGTGTCCCCCAGGCCAGGTGTCCCCCACGCCAGGTGTTCCCCCAGGTCAGGTGTTCCCCAGGTCAGGTGTTCCCCAGGCCAGGTGTTCCCCAGGCCAGGTGTCCCCCCAGGTCAGGTGTTCCCCCAGGTCAGGTGTTCCCTAGGCCAGGTGTTCCCCAGGCCAGGTGTTCCCCAGGCCAGGTGTTCCCCCAGGCCAGGTGTTCCCCCAGGTCAGGTGTTCCCCAGGCCAGGTGTTCCCCCAGGCCAGGTGTTCCCCAGGCCAGATGTTCCCCAGGCCAGGTGTCCCCCCAGGCCAGGTGTTCCCCAGGCCAGGTGTTCCCCAGGCCAGGTGTTCCCCAGGCCAGGTGTTCCCCAGGCCAGGTGTCCCCCAGGCCAGGTGTCCCCCAGGCCAGGTGTTCCCCAGGCCAGGTGTTCCCCAGGCCAGATGTCCCTTAGGCCAGGTGTCCCCCAGGCCAGGTGTTCCCCAGGCCAGGTGTTCCCAGGCCAGGTGTCCCCCAGGCCAGGTGTTCCCCAGGCCAGGTGTTCCCCAGGCCAGGTGTCCCCCAGGCCAGGTGTTCCCCAGGCCAGGTGTTCCCAGGACAGGTGTTCTAATGTTGTTGTTGTGTTGACAGGTGGGGCAGGTGTTCCCAGGCCAGGTGTTCCCCAGGCCAGGTGTCCCCCAGGGCAGGTGTTCCCCAGGCCAGGTGATCCCCAGGCCAGGTGTCCCCCAGGCCAGGTGTTCCCCAGGACAGGTGTTCTAATGTTGTTGTTGTGTTGACAGGTGGGGGCAGGTGTTCCCCAGGCCAGGTGTTCCCCAGGCCAGGTGTCCCCCAGGCCAGGTGTTCCCCCAGGCCAGGTGTTCCCCAGGCCAGGTGTTCCCCCAGGCCAGGTGTCCCCCAGGCCAGGTGTCCCCCAGGCCAGGTGTTCTAATGTTGTTGTTGTGTTGACAGGTGGGGGCAGGTGTTCCCCAGGCCAGGTGTCCCCCAGGCCAGGTGTTCTAATGTTGTTGTTGTGTTGACAGGTGGGGGCAGGTGTTCCCCAGGCCAGGTGTCCCCCAGGCCAGGTGTTCTAATGTTGTTGTTGTGTTGACAGGTGGGGCAGGTGTCGGCGTGGGACGCGGACGAGGGGACCAACGGGCAGGTGTCCTACACCGTCATCTCTCACTGGGGTAACGACGTCTTCTCCCTCAACCCTCAGACGGGCGTCTTCACCCTCACCTCAAGACTCGACTACGAGCAGGTAAGATCACCCTCTGTGTCTCTCTTTACTTTAGGGAGTCGGTCGGCCGAGCGGACAGCACGCGGGACTTGTGATCCTGTGGTCCTGGGTTCGATCCCAGGCACCGGCGAGAAACAATGGGCAGAGTTTCTTTCACCCTATGCCCCTGTTACCTAGCAGTAAAATAGGTACCTGGGAGTTAGTCAGCTGTCACGGGCTGCTTCCTGGGGGTGGAGGCTTGGTCGAGGACTGGGCCGCGGGGACACTAAAAGCCCCGAAATCATTTCAAGATAACCTCAAGGTAACTGTGTCTTTGTGCCGGCTGAAGATGCTGGGAAATCCTTTGGGGGCGAGTTGGTGTGTTGTGATGGGTGACTTTTACAACTGGAAGGTTATATGCTTCACCTAGGCCTATAACATTATGCCTTCCATTAGGCCTATGGTATTGCTTTCCATGCCTGTGCCGCCTTCTGGGTGGCTTAATCTATATCAGTCAATCACCTGTCTTGACGCTTCAGCACCGGGGTTCTCGATATTTTCACCGTTACTAAGCCACAAAATTGGGAGTCTGATAGCTGAGTGGACAGCGCTCTGGACTGCTTGATCAACCCGTCCTCTTAAAAATAACGTCACTTTTGGCTGGTATGCGGCTTGATAACTGGTTGATGGGGTTCTGGGAGTTGTTCTACTCCCCAAGCCCGTCCCGAGGCCAAGCTTGACTAGTGAGGGTTTGGTCCACCAGGCTGTTGCTTGGAGCGGCACGCAGGCCCTCATACCCACCCCAGCCTGGTTGGTCCGGCACTCCTTGAAGAAAAGTATCCAGTTTTCTCTTGAAGATGTCCACGGTTGTTCCGGCAATATTTCTTATAGTCGCTGGGAGGATGTTGAACAACCGCGGACCTCTGATGTTTATACAGTGTTCTCTGATTGTGCCTATGGCACCTCTGCTCTTCACTGGTTCTATTCTGCATTTTCTTCCATATCGTTTACTCCAGTATGGTGTTATTTTACTGTGTAGATTAGGGACCTGGCCCTCCAGTATTTTCCACGTGTATATTATTTGGTATCTCTCGTCTCCTCTCTAGGAAATACATTTGGAGAATTTTGAGACGATCCCAATAATTTAGGTGTTTTATCTCGTCTATGCGTGCCGTATATGTTCTCTGTATTTCCTCTATTTCAGCAATCTCTCCTGCTCTGAAGGGGGAGCACTGAAGGGGGAGTCTTGAGTACTGAGCAGTACTCAAGACGGGACAACACAAGTGACTTGAAGAGTACAACCATTGTGATGGGATCCCTGGATTTGAAAGTTCTAGTAATCCATCCTATCATTTTTCTGGCTGACGCAATATTTGCTTGGTTATGCTCCCTAAACCCCTACTTTGGTCAGTAGTATTATTCCCCCTACTATAGTCAGTACGAGGCATCATAATAATTATCAATGACACTGGTCTGTAGTTTAGTGCCTGCTTTCTATCTCCTTTTTATATACTGGGATAACATTTGCCTTTCTCCAGACGTTGGGGAGAGTTCCTGTCTCAAGCGAATTATTAACAAATTTAGATAATTGGGATTAATTACATCTACAGCCTGTTTCAGCAGCCAGTGTGAGATTAGGTCTAGCCCTCTATTGACTTTTATCACCTGTAGTGCATCCAGGTGCTTTCTTACCTCTTTTACAGTAACTACAGTGTCATCCATTGTTTCTTCAAGCCTTTCATCTCACAACCTTTGTCCCCCACACTCGTTCTACTGTAAAGACTTCAGGAAGTCTTTTGTCGAGTTTCTCACATACCTCCTTATCATTTTCTGTGAGATTTCCACCCTTGTCTCCTCAATCTGAGTACATATGGTCTCGCACTGTTCTTGGTGGTGGTGGTGGTGGTGGTGGAGGTGGTGGTGGTGGTGTTGATGGTGGTGGTTGTGGAGGTGGTGGTGGTGTTGATGGTGGTGGTGGTGGTTGTTGTGGAGGTGGTGGTGGTGGTGTTGATGGTGGTGGTGGTGGTTGTGGAGGTGGTGGTGGTGTTGATGGTGGTGGTGGTGGTTGTTGTGGAGGTGGTGGTGGTGGTGTTGATGGTGGTGGTGGTAGTGTTGATGGTGGTGGTGGTGTTGATGGTGGTGGTGGTGGTTGTGGAGGTGGTGGTGGTGGTGTTGATGGTGGTGGTGGTGGTTGTGGAGGTGGTGGTGGTGTTGATGGTGGTGGTGGTGGTGGTTGTGGAGGTGGTGGTGGTGTTGATGGTGGTGGTGGTGGTGGTTGTGGTGGTGGTGTTGATGGTGGTGGTGGTGGTGGTGGTGGTTGTGGAGGTGGTGGTGGTGGTGTTGGTGGTGGTGGTGGTGGTTGTGGAGGTGGTGGTGGTGGTGGTGGTGGTGGTGGTGGTGGTTGTGGAGGTGGTGGTGGTGGTGTTGATGGTGGTGGTGGTGGTTGTGGAGGTGGTGGTGGTGTTGATGGTGGTGGTGGTGGTTGTTGTGGAGGTGGTGGTGGTGGTGTTGATGGTGGTGGTGGTAGTGTTGATGGTGGTGGTGGTGTTGATGGTGGTGGTGGTGGTTGTGGAGGTGGTGGTGGTGGTGTTGTTGGTGGTGGTGGTGGTTGTGGAGGTGGTGGTGGTGTTGATGGTGGTGGTGGTGGTGGTTGTGGAGGTGGTGGTGGTGTTGATGGTGGTGGTGGTGGTGGTTGTGGAGGTGGTGGTGGTGTTGATGGTGGTGGTGGTGGTGGTTGTGGAGGTGGTGGTGGTGTTGATGGTGGTGGTGGTGGTGGTGGTGGTTGTGGAGGTGGTGGTGGTGTTGATGGTGGTGGTGGTGGTGGTTGTGGAGGTGGTGGTGGTGGTGGTGTTGATGGTGGTGGTGGTGGTGGTTGTGGAGGTGGTGGTGGTGTTGATGGTGGTGGTGGTGGTTGTGGAGGTGGTGGTGGTGGTGTTGATGGTGGTGGTGGTGGTGGTGTTGATGGTGGTGGTGGTGGTGGTGGTGTTGATGGAGGTAGTGGTGGTGTTGATGTTGGTGGTGTTGATGGTGGTGGTGGTGGTGTTGATGGAGGTAGTGGTGGTGTTGATGTTGGTGGTGGTGTTGGTGGTGGTGTTGGTGGTGGTGGTGGAGGTGGTGGTGGTGTTGATGGAGGTAGTGGTGGTGCTGATGTTGGTGGTGTTGGTGGTGGTGTTGGTGGTGGTGGTGGAGGAGAGGGAAGAGGAGGAAGTAGTGGAGGAGGAGGTAGGTGTGAGAGTCGGCCCCTCACCTTTTCCAACAAAAAAAAAGAAACCTTTACACACAGAAATCACAATAGCGTGATGCATCAAATGAACAAATCCACAAGGGCCGTGACGAGGATTCGAACCTGCGTCCGAGAGCATCCCAGACGCTGCCTTAATCGCCTGAGCTTCAACTCTTTTGACCATGTCGTAGCTCAGTCGATTAAGGCAGCGTCTGGGATGCTCCCGGACGCAGGTTCGAATCTTCGTCACGACCCTTGTGGATTTGTTTGCAAGGAACTCGTCCTGCCCGTCTCCACCACCCAAGAGTTACCGTGCTGCCTGCAGGTCGGTGTTCAATCCCCGAAGGTCACTTTCTGGCGTTTTAAGATTTTGGGTCAGAGATCGAGCCCTTCAACGCTCATCATTTTCCGTTTATAATTGAGTGTTTAGATAAAAATTTTAATTAGATAATTGTTATGAGTGGAACTCATAGGAACTACCAACCCCTGGGAACCTGGTTCTCCAGTCCCCCAGAGGGGTCCTGGGGGTACACCAGTCCCCAGGGGGGGTCCTGGGGGTACACCAGTCCCCAGGGGGGGGGTCCTTGGGTACACCAGTCCCCAGGGGGGGTCCTTGGGTACACCAGTTCCCAGGGGGTGGTCCTAGGGGTACACCAGTCCCAGGGGGGTCCTGGGGGTACACCAGTCCCCAGGGGTGGTCCTGGGGTACACCAGTCCCCAGGGGGGTCCTGGGGTACACCAGTCCCCAGGGGGGGTCCTGGGGGTACACCAGTCCCAGGGGGGTCCTGGGGGTACACCAGTCCCCAGGGGTGGTCCTGGGGTACACCAGTCCCCAGTGGGGTCCTGGGGTACACCAGTCCCCAGGGGGGTCCTGGGGGTACACCAGTCCCCCAGAGGGGTCCTGGGGGTACACCAGTCCCCAGGGGGGGTCCTGGGGGTACACCTGTCCCCAGTGGGGTCCTGGGGTACACCAGACTCCAGGGGGTGGTCCTAGGGGGTACACCAAACCCCTGGGGGGGGGGTCCTGGGGTACACCAGTCCCATTCATAGTACCCAGGATCTAAAACCTGGTCCACTTCTCCCCTGAAGGCCTGAATCCAGTGATCTTGGCCCACTCTGGCTTCCTCATTCTCGTCTCCGGCGTAGCCTAAGCTGTCGAAAAGGAGGTTTTCTGACCCGATCATAGGACCTGGAACCCGTTGACAGGACTCACAGGACCCGCAGTGGCACCTGTGTTGCCGGTGGCGTCACTGGGAAGGTCCCTGTAGTTGGCCCCTTTGGAAGAATGATCGTGTTTTCCTTTTTATGAGGTTCGAACAACGTCAACATCTTCTGTTAACCATTTTTTGTTTCATCCCGCGATCAATCAAGCCTCCCCTCCGCCCCCACCTCTCCCTCAGCCCCCACTACCACCCCCACAGCCCCCACTACCACACCCTCTACCACCCCCACTATCACCCCCACAGCCCCCACTACGCCTGCTTTCATACCTCTCACTGTATATACACCTTCCTAAACTTTCCTTCACCTATGCTTCTCCCTTAATACTATCACCGCCCACTTACTCCCTCTCTCCCCCACCACCGTCATCCCCTCCACTACTGCCACTCACCCCCACCCCACCACCCCTCCCCCACCACCACTACCTCCCCCACTCGTCTTGGGCCACCAGCTGTGGGAGTGGGGCGTCTCATCTTGGGCCACCAGCTGTGGGAGTGGGGCGTCTCATCTTGGGCCACCAGCTGTGGGAGTGGGGCGTCTCATCTTGGGCCACCAGCTGTGGGAGCGGGACGTCTCATCTTGGGCCACCAGCTGTGGG